AATTCTCATTGATGTGATGATGTGAAGAAGCAATTCAGGCTGGAACAACGCATCTGGGCTTGCCAGTGTTCAAATCTGTAGCTGAAGCAAAGGAAGCAACTGGATGTGATGCCACGGTTATCTACGTCCCATTTCAGGTGGCAGGTCAAGCGATTGAGGAAGCTATGGATGCTGAGGTACGCCTCTTTTTCTCGTTGCGATGAGTTATGCCGCACAGGTTTATATCGAATGCCGATTGTGGTGCCTTGCTTCGAATTGACCCGTGTTCTACCCTATAACCCAGGAACAGGACCCATTTCCATTTTCTGCTGTTTTCCTTTTTGAAGTTTTTTTATGAAGCAAATAACCTTGTTTCCTTTCTTGATTTGTCATTGTCTCTTCATGACGTAGTTGTAGCTGAAGCGGGGCATTGATATCGAGACTCATATTAACAGCGTATGTGCAAAGTTGCCTGTCAGTTATGGAAAGCCAAAGAGTTTGTATCTTGCACGTTTAGATTTGGTTTTGCTCTAGCTTTGAAGGATGACGGACTACTTGGAGGCAGATATTTTATTTACAGTATTTTGACAAGTCCAAACTCAGAATGTTCCTCTTCTGTTCCTGTTGACGCCAGCAACAACTCCACACAGCTCCTCTTGTAGAGCCTTGGCAGCATTTCAGCTCTTTTGATTAGTAGCAACACCACACTATGCCTCTTTCGGTGTCTGGCGTTAATATTCGTAACCCGTTTTCCTACTTCATGAGGTGGCGATTCATGGAGAAATTTTGACCTGGCCTTGAATGTAGGATCGTTTGCCACGCACAATATACAGTCCAGCTTTTCTAGATTGGCCTCATCGTGTGCATTACGGAAGGAATACCCCAACATGATATGGTGCATGCAAAAAGCAGACTTGTAAAACAGAGTGAGTTAAGATCATTCATTCGTCATGAAGCACTCTTTGGACCAGATCAAAGGTGTTATCTTTAACTTGCAGATAAGTCACGTCTACTGGGCCCTAACTGCCCTGGAATCATCGCGTCGGATGAGTGTAAAATTGGTATCATGCCTGGTAGTATCCATAAGAAAGGATGCATAGGTTGGTTTCTGTTTGTAATCGATTTTGGCTCTGACCGTTTCTTTAGTATTTGACAGTTTTTGAGTGTCTGTGTAGGATGAAGCCCTTGCTTCTTGTAGGAGTACAAGTTTAATCCTTCAATAACTTCCTGTTGACCGCAAGCAGTTCACGATCACATTTCCGCGATTTTCGTCATCTCAGTCTTTGTTTTGTGATTGGATTTAAAGAGAGCGGTGGTTATTACTGGCCAATTTCTTACTTTCGTGTATTTTACAGGCGTTGTGTCCCGATCTGGCACTCTAACATACGAGGCTGTACACCAAACAACAGAGACTGGTCTTGGTCAAACGTTGTGTGTCGGAATTGGAGGCGATCCCTTCAACGGCACCAACTTCATTGACTGTTTGGATGTCTTCTTCGGTGATAAGAATACCAGAGGTGTGTAATTTTCGCATCATCCACAGCTCTTTACCGAGTTCTGAAATTCTGCCTTTCCGTTGAAGGGGTAATTCTGATTGGAGAGATAGGAGGTACTGCTGAAGAACAAGCGGCAGAATTCATCAAATCTGAAGCCAAAGCTGGCAGAGCTAAGCCAGTGGTCAGCTTCATCGCCGGCGTCACAGCACCTCCTGGCAGACGTATGGGACATGCTGGAGCAATTATAGACGGAGGGAAAGGTAAATGATAGACCTATTGAGCAGTCTGTTCTTCACTCAGTTGTCTTGAGACTCGTTCATTTAGGTCTGGCAGGTGACAAAATTGAAGCGCTCAAATCAGCTGGCGTACATGTCGTAGATTCGCCTGCCCATTTAGGCACTACCATGGCCAAGGTATTGATTCATGGAAGAAATTGATTTTCATAGATTGCTCATAACACCCCCTATTTCTCATATGATTGTGTGTGAGATTCAAGTAGTTAGTTGTTTTCGCAGTCTTCTACTCTATAATATTTATTTATCGACTTCGCTGAACAGGTAGTGACGGTTTCTGTTAAGAGCTATTATAATTATTTGCTTCCCTTTTCTTCTGATCTCAGTTCGGTTTTTGTAGTGCAAACTCTTTCTAGCTGTTATAGTTACCGTGTTTAAGTATATTCTCTCTTTTTAAGCATAACAGTCCTCTTAGCACTTGGTTAGTTATCGTTTGAGTTTTTGAGTAAGTTAGCTGTTGATGTATTGTTAGTTATAGAAGCAGATTGTAGAGGAAAATT